AAATCGAGTTCCTTAAATCTGTTCTTCACTTCCACTGTGTATTCATAAGGGATTTGATTTAGATTTGACTAGGATCACGTTTAGTCAGAACTCTCCACTATGACCTGTCCATCTTGGGTATCCCTGCATGGCATAGCCCATAGCTTCTCTAAATTGCTCAAACCCCTTCGCCACGTCAAGGCAGCAATCCGTGAAGGGGGATACTCCATCTGTATGAGAGCCCAATTCATGTGTTATATTTCCTTTCCAAAGTATGTGCAAGGGATGGTAAAGAAGAACTTTGCATGTATATAGTTTTCTTTAGCACCTACCTAATACATCACATCAGCTGCATAGTAGATGATACAGGCACATGGTCATTTTCTTCACTGTATGAATCAAGGTGCTGATCAAACAAGTGCCCAGTCTAAGCTGATGATGTGGATTCCAATTGTTATTTAGTTCACAAATCAAAGGGCATAAAAAGCTAGTGTTACTGATAGTCATAATTTTCTAGGAACAAAAAAGATTACAAAATTCCATGCAACTTCTGTATAACTTGACCAATAGATAAATGCTAATGATTATTTCTTTCCATGTCAGGAATGTCTGGAATTTTTTAACATACCTGAATCTCAATCTTCCAACTATTTTTTAATGGATAAACGATGGAACCTTATTCATTATAATAAGGTAAGGCAGCTTAATGTTGTTGTTGTTCTGTGTAGGATCAGTACTAGAAAACTGGACACTAGAAAAGATAATCAAGTGTAAGGATGCCCCATTGGAGACCAAGATCATCCACACTCCTGTATTTCCAGTCACCAGGTGTGTGAAAGCAGAACCGTTAAGACAGTTGACAGGAAAAAAGATTGTTTGAAATGTGAAGCTGGAGGGAGAGCTTTGTGGATACCCTGAATTGCAGGCAAAAATGTTGAAACAGGCTGTCGTGGGAAGGTGCAAGATTCTCTGGAAAAGACAATAATTCTGGGAAAAGTGGAAGGCAGCAGGAAGAGAGGAAGGCTAAATATGAGATGGACTGACTCTCTAAAAGAGTCTGCAAGTGTTAAGCGGGCCAGCTGAGGACAGGACATTTTGGAGAGCGCTCACCCATGAGGTTGGCATGAGTCGGAGGTGACTTGAGGCACATAACAACAAGATCATTATGTTTTGGTTTGGTTCTGGAATGTGTGACTGCCCGGCTTGAACCAAAGAAGATGGCTTAACCTGTCATTTTTCTTAAGCCCCTTCAAAATCCAGGGAAATTGAAAAATTCCTCCTGCTATCCTATGGAGGGGGAAGAGAGTGGAAGCAAAAGTTTTTTTTTAAAGACTTTACATGGCAGTGCTGATATGCTATACCAATTAGGTTTTTTTTTAAAAAAAATTGAAAGCTTTCTCCCATCCCCTCACAGAGGAGGGGATAAGGAGAGATTTTTCTTTCTTTCTTTCCCTTTAAAGGGAAGAAGGGTGAAAAAATGATAGCTTAAGGTGCAACATAGGTTCCTACCGTGAATCTGCCCAATCCGTGCATGTGGATACAAAGACCTCCTCAAATAACATACCACACGTCAAAGTGACCCTGCTCAGCCTGATCCAAGCTGGGATAATTTGGCCATCTAGTCACACTCTTGGTCCGAGAAAAATGTCTTGAGGAAATGTGCTCCTTGATATTCCCTTGGCTGAACCACTGGTACTCAGCTACTATTGAACAGAATTCTTTATTAGTACTTTACTTGCCACTGTATTTCTTCATTTGTAAAATATATGTCATAATTTTTCTCATTCCATTCCAGACCTATGTCCGTGATATTTATCCATTTCGGAGATCAGTATCTCCCCAGTTGAATTTGGTACACATGCATCCAGAAAAAGGGCAAGAACTTATTCAGAAACAGGTATTCCACATCTCACAGAACTTTCCAATGAAAAAGTATGATGGCATATAAAATGATTGCATTTAAATGCTCGCTTTGTGATCTGGTAAGGCTCTCTTTATCTCACTGATAAAAATAATTAGCTGAGGAGCAGTTTATGAAGGGCAGAGCCTTTTCCGCAGTGACTCCACGTCTTTGAATTCTTTGTTCTAGGCATCTTGAAGCAGAATTTTAAAATCAGCATTTTTTCTAATAGTTTTATTGGCTTTGCACTTTATTTACTGCTGTTTAAAGTGTTTTGTTTTTAACCTTTTCCTTCTTGATATAATGTAATGTATTATAGGATTTCTATGACATGTCACTTTTCTTCTGCAACCTTCTGTTTATGGGTGGGTTTTAACATGCCTATGACATGTCACTTTTCTTCTGCAACCTGTTTATGGGTGGGTTTTAACATGTTTATGAGTAATCTGGTGGGAAAGGCCAAATTACTCATAAACATACTTGAACTTGCTTATGTATGTTGCAGAGAAAATCTGAAATACAATATAATACAAATTTATTCTACAGCCAAAGGCCCGATAAAATACAATATAAATACAGTATAAATTCTCAAAGTAAATTTAAAAAGTTTAAAATTAGTTGAACATCAGGATTCTTTTTTTGAGTTTTCTGGGCAGAGAGAAGGAATTTAGCCACAAGTTTCTATAATGGACTTATTTGTATCTTCGAAAAGGTATTTTGTATACCAGTTCAATGATCTTCCTGGAAAGCTTGTCATTTAGGGGTGTAGGAGCCTGGCACAATCAATCCTGTAATAATTACATGTTAAGAGAAATTAGTTGAACATCAGGATTCTTTTTTTGAGTTTTCTGGGCAGAGAGAAGGAATTTAGCCACAAGTTTCTATAATGGACTTATTTGTATCTTCGAAAAGGTATTTTGTATACCAGTTCAATGATCTTCCTGGAAAGCTTGTCATTTAGGGGTGTAGGAGCCTGGCACAATCAATCCTGTAATAATTACATGTTAAGAGAACAATTGTGGTGCTGGAGGAGACTCTTGAGAGTCCCCTGGACTGCAAGGAGAACAAACCTATCCATTCTAAAGGAAAGCAACCCTGAGTGGTCACTGTAAGGACAGATCCTGAAGCTGAGGCTCCAATACTTTGGCCATCTCATGAGAAGAGAAGACTCCTTGGAAAAGACCCTGATGTTAGGAACGTGTGAAGGTAAGAGAAGAAGGGGATGGCAGAAGATGAGATGGTTGGACGGTGCCATTGAAGCTACCAAGATGAATTTGACACAACTCTGGGAGGTAGTGGAAGATAGGAAGGCCTGGCGTGCTCTGGTCCATGGGGTCACGAAGAGGCAGACACGACTAAACAACAACAACAAGAGAACATGTTGCAACGTTTCAGTTTCTCTGTTATTACAAGGACATAATTGGTTTTCATATAATACACCATGATAGCGGCCCTATAATACAGCGGATATGACAGTTAAATCTGTCTCTTGTGTTGATCTCACATTTATTATCTAGTAGGGTGGCTGAATTTTGAGTAGATTATAGTCTTGATAATTTATTTATTTATTTATTTATTTGATTTGTATCCCGCCTATCTGGACCACCGGACCACTCTAGGCGGCTGATAATGATAATGATCACCTTCATCTTATAGTTACTGTTTGAATGTTATTCATTTGAAAACAAATTCTTATCTTCAGGATAAATCTCTTATGTTTAAAACATTAAAAAGTTATATTGGACAGGAAGAAATAGTGATACGGTGGCAGACTTTCTTGCCTCCTCAGAGAGAGAGTTTATTAAAAATTCAGTTATTGTAGCTACAAATGGTACCTCTGCTTTAAACAACTATTCATTCAGCTATGATCACAGCTCTAAAAGCTATACTAACTCCAGAACAATCCCCCGCTGGAGCTATTATAAGAACAAGTAGCCCCACGTGGTTTGATAAAGACTGCTGTGCACTTAAAAAAAAAAACTCAGAGAAATATACAACCATTATAGGAGTGAAAATTTAAATATTTTACCACAAGAAATGTGAAAAGTAGGTTGCAGAGAAAATGTGAAATGTCATAAAATCCTCCCCCTAGTCACGAACTATCATAATTCAACTCATGGCTACATTTAGCTGCATCCATTAATACTTCCTTAATCAAAAAGCTGTAAGAAGTAGAAGAAGTGGTCGTGGATGTCCCTCCAAAACATTTATCTGGCTGTTTCCTTAGGTGTTTACACGTAAATTGGAAGAAGTGGGCCGGGTGCTGTTCCTCATTTCTCTGACGCAGAAGATCCCTGTTGCTCACAAGCAATCCCATGTCTCTTTGCTGCAAGAGGACCTTCTCCGCTTGCCATCCTTCCCTCGCAGTGCAATCGACGCTGAATTCTCCCTCTTTAATGATCCCCAAGGTACTAAAGAGAAAGCTTTTTTTTTCATGAGGTTCCTCTGACTTGGGTCATCTCAGGGCTGCCTTTTGTGGCCTGGTTAAAATCCAATGCCCACTGATGATGGTGATGATGATGACGATCATAATGTTGTTGACTCCGCTTGCCATCCTTCCCTCGCAGTGCAATCGACGCTGAATTCTCCCTCTTTAATGATCCCCAAGGTACTAAAGAGAAAGCTTTTTTTTTCATGAGGTTCCTCTGACTTGGGTCATCTCAGGGCTGCCTTTTGTGGCCTGGTTAAAATCCAATGCCCACTGATGATGGTGATGATGATGATCATCATAATGTTGTTGATGCTGCCGCTGCTGTTGTTGTTAATGTAATTTATACCCTTTTTTTTTTTCTTATAAGAGGTCTGGATAGCTAGTAATCCATATGAAACCTACACACTCCAAATTGAGGATTAGACATATCTAAAGACATGACTGATTATAGTTGACATATAATGGGCAAAAGCCTGTTGTATTACTTTGTGCCAGCATAACCTGGACCAGATCCACTGTCATGAGGCTTCCAAAGACTTCCCCAGGGCAAAAGGGAGCCCTGGAGAGCATCAGAACCTGGAAGTAGGGGGATATGAAGCTTTTAATTACTTTAAATGAAATGCTTCTGGCATCTGATTTGGGTGTGCTGGTATAAAGTTATACAACTGAATTTTGCCCATTAAAAGCAATATAAATCAGCACTGGTCAAGGACAAATTAAGTACCTGTACTCATTTGCAGCTTGTGCAAACTGGTGGTTTTAACAGGCATCTGAAAGATATGGGAAACAAGCAGATCTCTGATGAAAGTGAATCCTAAAACTGGAGTGCATGGCTGAGAAAGCTGTGCTTTGTATGGCAGCCCTATGGATACCACAAAAAGAGCTTTCTCGTTGTTCTGAAATCCCAGGTGCCCTGAGTTTAATAGTACGTTATAGTGAAGTTCGTTAGAAAGCTTTAACAAGATAAGGATGTAGTGGTCCTTTTGAATATCTGGCCTACAAGCAAGACAACCACCCTGTTTTCCTATAAATCCAAATGTGGAGGTGACTTAGATATCTTTCTTTGAAACAAGTTTCTAAGTTTAAATCTGACATCATTGTATTTGAACTTCCAGCAGGAAAGGAGCTCTTTGGCCTTGACACTCTTCAGAAAAGCCTGTGGATTAAACTTCTGGAGGAGATGTTTCTCGGGATGCCTAGTGAATTTCCCTGGGGGGATGAAATCATGCTGTTCCTGAATGTGTTTAATGGGGCCTTGATCCTACACCCAGAGGACAGTGCCCTGTTGCGGCAATATGCTGCCACCGTCATCAACAGTGCTGTACATTTCAACCACCTCTTCTCTCTCAGTGGCTACCAGTGGATCCTCCCGACTATGCTGCAGGTGAATGTTGGGTTAGGTGTTCAAACTTCTCTCTCAGTGGCTACCAGTGGATCCTTCCGACTATGCTGCAGGTGAATGTTGGATTACGTGTTCGCTGAACTTGCCATTAGGCCAGTTCTGCTAACCTGAACAATCTGTTGCTTGCAATGGCCCCATTTAAAAAAAATGGTGATTACTCTGGGACAAAAGGCACTATTCTTTTAAGGCAAACCAGAGGAGTCCCAACAGCTGGTTTCACACACACATATTATTTTCCTTTTGTCTGGCAAAAGCAAAATAATGTCATTTATGTATTTGGCAAGGTGGGAGAGAAAGAGAGGATATGAAGGAAAAAGAGAGCTTGTGTGTGATACCAGATATTAAGGGAAATGTGTATTCTCCCAATTCACCTCTCTTCCACCCCACAACTGGGTTTCCGCAGAGATCATTTCCTTAGCGATTAGACTTGCAAATGAAGTCCCTGTTTACCTTCTAAGGAGGAGTAAGATACAGATGACATCGACAAAATTGCGTGCTATGAAATGTGTGGGTTAAACCGCAGAAGCCTCTGTGCTGCAAGGTTGTAAGATTAGCAGTCGTAAGATCGAATCCATGCAACGGAGTGAGCTCCCATCGCTTGTCCCAGCTCCCGCCAACCTAGCAGTTCGAAAGCATGTAAAAATGCGAGTAGACAAATAGGTACCACCTTGGTGGAAAGGTAATGGTGTTCCGTGTCTAGTTGCACTGGCCACGTGACCACGGAAACTGTCTTCGGCCAAACACTGTCTCTACAGCTTGTAAATGCAGATGAGCACCGCCCCATAGAATCGGACACAACTGGACTAAATGTCAAGGGGAACCTTTACCTTTACTATGAAATACAGGCATCTTTTACCACTTGGAGGCACACCTGTGTAGAAATTGTGAAAAGAAAAGTAGCCTTTAGTTTGACCTGAGAGACAGTACTGGGCTGTGTGGAGGCTTTTTCAGCAGAAGGCTATCACGTCTTTAAGTCTCAAGCAGTACTTCTAAGTCTTTTTCTCTTTGTCCAGGTATATGCTGACTATGAAAGCAACCCACAGCTGCGTCAAGCAATCGAGTTTGCCTGCCGACAGTTTTACATCCTGCACCGCAAGCCCTTTATACTGCAATTGTTTGCTAGTGTGGCTCCCCTCCTGGAGTTTCCTGTGAGTTGAAATCTGTTCCCGACATCCATTTCTTCTTTTGTTTTCGTTTTGGCCAGCTGGGATAGAGGGGCCCTAGGATGAGGAGATGGCTGGTGGCACATATTGAATTACTCTTCAAATGGAATCACATGACCCCCTTCACAATCAAATACAAATTCTAGTGTAGTAGGAACTTAGAAACCACTGCAGTTAGCAGCTATATTTCATGCATATTTGGGGACAGCGGAGCCAAACATTTATTTTTTTTATAAAGGGAATAATTATGGCTAAGCAGTTGCTAATTTTTTCTCTTTGGGAGTTGGGATGCATGTTTCTTCCTTGCCCCATCAGTTAAGGGGAGCTTTGGCATGCTTGGCCTTGCTGCCAGTTCCGCACTTCAGCCCTAGATACCCATTTCTGAATAAAATCCAGTGAGGAGAATGTGCAGTTCATCTCCTGAAAAAAGAAAATCTGGCAATTGAGCCTGTGGGATGGACATGCTGTCCCGGTTACCAAGCTGGGTAGCTCAGTGGTTTAGGCATCTTGCTGCGGAGCCAGAGGTAGGGAGCTCAGTTCCCCACCGCGCATCTCAGGAGAAGCCAGCCTGTGTGGTCTTGGGCAAACTGCACAGTCCCAGGGCACTCCCAGAAGAAAGGAAGGGCAAACCACCTGTACTCTATCCCTGAGAACCCCTGAAAAAGGTTGCCATAAATTAGAATTGACGTGATGGCAGATGGCAATTATTATTATCTCTGCGTGGATGCCCAGAGCTGGAGGAAACAGGTTGGGGTACAGAGGAAAAGTAGAAGGCCTCTCCCGTGGCATTGCTTTCCATATCTTCACCTTGAGATTTATTGGTAAATATATTTGTGTCATTAAATGTATATTGCACATATTCAACTGGGCTGTGACAAACGTCCCATATGTATTGAAAAATGCTGGAAGTGATTATCAGATTTGGTCATTTAATGGTGATAGAGGGGATGGCCCTCAGTTTTCTAGATGAATGTGAGGATTTTATAGCATATGCTGCTCCACTCCTAAAACTTACAAATTACTATTTGGCTCATAAATCCTTAGCTGCTATGCTAGGCTCTATTGAACATTTGTTGTTGTTTAGTCGTGTCCGACTCTTCATGACCCCATGGACCAGAGCACGCCAGGCCTTCCTGTTTTCCACTGCCTCCCGGAGTTTGGTCAAATTCATGTTGGTAGCTTCGGTGACATTGTCCAAACATCTCGTCCTCTGTCATCCCTTCTCCTCTTGCCTTCACTCTTTCCCAACATCAGGGTCTTTTCCCAGGAGTCTTCTCTTTTCATGAGATGACCAAAGTATTGGAACCTCAGCTTCAGGATCTGTCTTTCCAGTGAGCACTCAGGGCTGATTTCCTTAAGAATGGATAGGTTTGTTCTCTTTGCAGTCGAAGGGATTCTCAAGAGTCTCAGAGGGTAACAGCAATATATGTTGGAAGTGTAAAAAAAATGCAGGAACTTATTATCATATGTCGTGGACATGCGAAAAAGTCAAAAATTATTGGACACAGGTGTGGAAATTAGTAAAAGAAATTACTCAGCACAAAATCGATATAAAACCTGAAATGGCATTATTGAATGTCACATCAGGAATTAATGATAAAAAATTGAAGTATTGTCTGATGTATATACTCACAGCAGCTAGACTACTCTGGGTCCAAAAATGGAAAAGTGAAGAGGTTCCAACAATAGAAGAGTAGTTAAAGAAGCTATGGGATACAGCAGAACTGGACACTCTATCAGAAGTACTAGGGGAACAAAAAAGAGACTATGTAAAATAAAGCTGGGAATTAATATACCCCTGGGCCCAGAAGAAGACAGGAGTGTAGGGCAAAGTTTATGATGTATGTATATCTACTTAGTATACACTGGAAACCAAACCAGGGAGAATGGAGGGTTTAAAGAGGCTGAGATCTCTGACTCCAAAGGGGGGGAGGGTTTAACTTAGTAGAGGATTTCGTTTTTTTATTACTCTCTTTTTTCTTTTTCTATTTCTGTTTTTTGTATGTTTGAATTCTAATTAAAAAAAGAGTCTCCTCCAGCACCATAATTCAAAAGCATCAATTCTTTGGTGGTCAGCCTTCTTTATGGTCCAGCTCTCACTTCTGTACATCACTACAGGAAAAACCATAGTTTTGACTATGCAGACCTTTGTCGGCAAGGTGACGTCTCTGCTTTTTAAGACGCTGTCTAGGTTTGTCATCACTTTCCTCCCAAGATGCAGGAGTGCTTTAATTTCATGGCTGCTGTCACCATCTGCAGTGATCATGGAACCCAAGAAAGTAAAATCTGTCGCTGCCTCCATATCTTCCCCTTCTATTTGCCAGGAGGTGACGGGACGAGTGGCCAT